CTATGTTCCAGTGATGAAACCAGAAATTGTGCCTCAGCCCCTGGTGTATTCTACCTGTAGGGTTAAGCTAGTCACCGTTCCTCAATGACAGTGTCAGGAAATAAGATGCTTTTGTGAAGAAGGGAAATCTCTAACTCTGTTGGAATATGTGATGTTTACTCTTTGGGTTTGGGAAATGAAAATATGCTGAATGCTTTCCTTAGGCCTGATGGGGCCTCTTGAGAGAGGGCCCTATCCTGAAGCCAGCATCCTGAAGTTCATACATGTCAGTAACTACAAAATGGGTCTGTTTCCCCTTTTAGGGGACTCTGATGGACTTTGTGCCTGTTACTCCTCCGATGATTCCTTCCATTATAGTTCATTGTGTTAATGAGATTGAACAGCGAGGGCTGCATGAGGTAAGGATGTGTGGGAATGGTAATTGGATGAGTTTTGATGTTAATTGTGTGAAATAAGGGTCACTTGTTAAAGGTGTTTGTAATATAGACAAGTCTTCTACTAAGCAGTACCTGCATATTTCCTAAGTTCTGGTGCCATAGCTATGTTCAGTAGGGATGTGTCAAGATGAAACCCTGTAGCCAATATAGTTGTGCTGCCAGGCTCTTGATGTAGTTGCAGATCTGCCAACAGAAGACACGCCTCTGGCAGATGAAAAACTCTTGGCAGCATATGATAAGGCTAAACCAGAGAGCTCTGTTACCATGCTAAAAGCAGCAACAGTAGCCCTATAATGGAGACAATTACATAGTGACAGAATAACAGTCGTACCCAAAGTCCTCAATTTGGTTTGAGACCTGAGGGCAGGAGTCTAATCTTGTCAAGAACCTGTTTTATGTTGGACATGTGCAAGTGATGTTCCTGGCTTTTTATCATTGCTTTTTGCTAACAGACGGGCCTATACAGAATTTCAGGCTGTGACCGGACAGTGAAAGAACTGAAGGAGAAATTTCTTCGAGGGAAGACAGTGCCCCTGCTCAGCAAGGTGGATGATATCCATGCCATCTGCGGCCTTCTTAAAGACTTCCTACGGAGCCTAAAGGAGCCCCTCCTCACCTTCCGGTTAAACAAGACCTTTATGGAGGCAGCAGGTGATGATGTGCTGAATGTCACATACAGCATGCTTGCTTGGACAAAAACAAATGATGTTTGCCTAATCCTTTCTTTCCTTTTCTTTTCTCCCCTCTTTCCCACCATCACCTCCCTCTCCAAGAAATCTTGGATGAAGACAACAGTGTAGCTGCAATGTACCAGGCTGTTAGTGAGCTTCCTCATGCCAACAGAGACACTCTGGCTTTCCTCATGATTCACCTGCAGAGGTGAGGTCAGCTACTTAAGTGGCACTGTCATTTTTCTAAAGGCTTACACTAGTGGCTGAGACATAGGAGCCTTTACTCTGGAAAACTTGAAAATTCAGGGTGCTGAGAGATTTGGCTTTGTAAGAAATGGGGTTTTTTATCTACCTTTTTTACTTTCTTTTGTTTAGAGTGGCTCAGAGCCTAGACACTAAGATGGATATTACTAACCTAGCTAAAGTCTTTGGACCAACAATAGTTGCCCATGCTGTCCCTGATCCTGACCCTATGACACTACTACAGGACACTAAACGACAACCTAAGGTAGGTCAGCAGCCAGGACACTGAGTTGGAACGTGGATGTCAGGCATGTGAAGTGCATAAGCTTATCCTGATGAAGTATCTGCGTATACCAGCTTACTATGACAGTGTATCAAAACCTGTCAGCTGTGGCTTGAATATAGTGGCAAGCTGTACACTAATGAGTGTTTCTGTAGGTGGTTGAGCGACTCTTGTCACTGCCAGTGGAATACTGGAGCCAATTCATGGTAGTGGAGCAAGAAAACATTGACCCGGCACACATAATTGAAAACTCCAATGCCTTCTCAACTCCTCAGAAACCAGAGGTCAAAGGTAGTACCAGAGTTTTGCTCTGTCAAATCTTCAACCATGACCAAACATCTGTTCCAGGGGCGGGCAATTACTTTGGGTGGAGGGCCGCTTACTGAGTTTTGGCAAGCCATCAAGGGCCGCATGACGGGCAGCCAGAGGCAGATTAAAAAAAAAAAAGCTTAGAAAAGATTTTTTTTTTAGGGGACCCGCGGGCTGGACAGAATGGCCTCGTGGGCTGCATCCAGCCTGCAGGCTGCATTTTGCCCACCCCTGATCTATTCTAACCAAAACAATGAGTCCAAAAACAGCCAAATTAACTGCTCCTGACCCCTGTAGTTTTTATCAATACCAAAGGTTGTTTGGTAACTGGTGGCTTTGCTTTTCAAAAGGTATTCATTGATCTCTTTCAGCCCAGGAAATAGATCCCCAGTGTGAAACAAGACTAATGCTTGGTTCCTAATCCCAAACCTCTACTGGTAATTGCAACCTGTCACTTAAATTAGTGAGAGTGATGCTTGCTCTGTCTCTGTTTCAGGAAATATAGGCTTCTAATCGACTGCAAAACGTAGAGCGATTTTTTTCATAGATTTCACAGACATTAGGGCTGGAAGGGACCTTGGAAGATTGAGTCCAGCGCCCTGCCCGAAGGGCAGGAAGTTGGCTGGGGTCATAGGATCCCAGCAGGATAAGCATCCAGTTTGTTCTTGAAGGTGTTCAATCTAAGTGCTTGAACCACCTCCAGTGGCAGGCTGTTCCAGACCTTGGGGGCTCGGACAGCAAAGAGATTCTCCCTTATGTCCAGCCTGAAACGGTCTGGCAGTAGTTTATAACCATTCGACCTCGTCATCCCTTGGGGTGCTTTGGTGAACAAACATTCCCCCAGATACTGGTGGTCACCCCTGATAAACTTATAGGTGGCCATTCGCATTGTCAGCAGGGTGATGGAAGTGACACTGGGCAGGACAAATCAGATGCTTTCTTTTGAACTCCCACCATCTGCTGTCGGCATTAACATACTTTACATACAAATGCATACTGAAAGCTCTGAGTGGCTTTTCAACAGCAAAGCTAGTTAATGTTGCAGGATAACTTGGGTTAGCTCAGTAAATCTGAAATCAGTGTTTCTGCAGATAACTTCACTTACCTTGAGAAATGTTGTCTTGTATGCAAGATATCTTAATACTGTGATTTTTTTTTTTCTTTCCCCCACCCCTCTCATCTGCAAAGTGAGCGTGCTGGGTCCTCTTACCACTCCTGAGCGGCAGCTGATAAAGACTCCTTCATCTAGCTCCCTATCCCAGAAAGTCAGATCTACGCTCAGCAAAACTACCCCCAAGTAAGTGGTGGCATGTGCTTTGGGAGGGGAAAAAAAAAAGGAGATTTGTTTGAGGTACTGCATTATTGGTTCAAGTACTGTTATGTGCTCAGTGCTTATCATCCAAGTGCACTGAATTGAAATAGGCCTTTGTGAACAGATAAGAATTTGGGAACAACTAGGTCCACTTATGATTCAAAGGTTTTTGGAAAGTTACTACACAACCAACTATGATCCCTAAATGTGGCCAAAAATAATGATATTTGAGTTGGTGCCTTCTATATAACCAGAAACTACACTTAGTGCTTTATATTGATAGAGCTCTGGCTACAAGCTTATAAGCACAATGGTAATCAGGGGCATGTGAGGTGAGAACTTTGAAAGTGGAGAAATCTACAGGACTTGATCTGTCGTTCCTCAGGACAAATATGAGAACAGTGGGTAGCTCCTTGAAAACCACCCATGGTCCATCCCTGCTTCTTCATGGTTTCCAGTGAAGCTCATCACAGGGTAGCTGATGCAAGGAGGCCCTCTCTTCAGTTAAACTTTACTTAACTTCCAGGATCCAGCAATAACCATGTTGATCCTAAACAAAGGCAAGAAGGGGGGAGTACAAACTAGTGAAAAGTTAGAGGAGGGTGAAAAGATAACTGTCTGGGATCACAGCACAATGTGGAGGGGAGAGGGGATGGCTGCACATTCAGCAGTGTCATGGGGACTGCTATAGAAGTGACCCTCTTTCCATTTGTCTTGAATAGGTTTGGGAGCAAAAGCAAATCTGCAACCAACCTGGGGCGTCAAGGCAACTTCTTTGCCTCTCCTATGCTGAAGTAAAATGGATCTAAAGTTTCAGCCCCTACTGTGGGTTCAAATCCTAGATATGCATGGCTGCAATAAAGAGCTGACTCCATTTAAAGGCTCTTGGCAACCTTGAATATTAAGATACCTTATTACATTTTTATTTGAGGCTTTTATTAACCCAGAGTTACTGTGCAATGTATTTTATTTAATATCTAATGCTGTATTGTATTGGTTAGGAATAGCTGGCAGATTCCCTCAGTAAGTTTAGGGGAAACTGTCACAGATCTTGTATTTCAAGACACTTTTTTAAAGGGAAATTGGACACTTTCTTTTAAAGACACTGAAAACTATGGGATGCTTTTTGGCTCAGCAATAATCCTGCCTTTTTCCAAGAGAACAGCCATAATCCTTTGGGCAGCTAGTGCTGGTCCTGTGTCCAAGGAAGCAGTGAATGCTGAGCATACATGCTCTTTCACTTGCTGCGAGTCTGGTTTTAGTGAAAAGAGATGATTTCAAAAAGTGTGTGCGCCTGAAATTTGGCCATATGAAAAACTGGAAAAATCAGTGTTTCACAGTATGCCATAAGTCCCGAAACATGTGCTGGTTGTGAAGCGGCGTAGTTGATACCTGTTGTATTGAAACATGTTCTGTATTTGTATGCATTGATCACTTTCGCTTCTTTTGGTAAAGCTGGTTTGACTTGTTTCTAATGAAGTATCACTTGAACCATGACTTGTATATAGCAGAAGCACACTAAATATCTGCCAAAACGATGATCTTGTTGGCAAGAATGTCTTCAGACTCTGCACAAAGGATTATTGGGGAGGTCTTGGGCACTACTAATTTTTTTTTAAAGTAGTACTGTCTTGCTTGCTGATGGAATAGGGGTGCTTATTAGTGGTGCCGAAGATTTTTGGAAAACGATTTTTTCCAAATACAGACAGATACTAGTTTGCCTAACTCAGTGCTACATCTAAAGATTTGTTTAATCAATACAAGTGTTTGTAACAGAGTCTTCTCTGCATTAAATTCCTGGAAACAGTCTGGACCTTTGATGATATATGAATTAAGCTTGTCTAATCTCTCCCAGCAACACAGTTGGTTTAGTTTAAAAATTGCCCAAAAACCTTGCTTCCTAGAAAATTCAGGGGAAATGCAAGGGAATAGCGCAACTGGCTGCTATTTGTTTGATAGCTCATTATTAAGGTTAATTCTCTTCCCAGTGATGGACAGACCATGAGATTTGAGAGATTATCAAGGCAATCAATACAAGAAAAAATGCTGTTAGCAGGAAAGCACCTAGATCTGTCAGACTTCCCAGGCAGAAAGTAGTAAGGATGTCTGAAGACTACAGCATGTGTACAATTGCCACTGCCATTATATCCGTGTACCTCATGAGTGTTGTTGTAATGCAAGTCACTTAAACTGCTGTCAAAACCTGGCTCTTAGCCTCTGTATTTTACTCTGCTTTCTAACTTTTAAAATCAGGTAGTAGTACTTGTCTAGCTCAGAAGTGTTGTGAAGATAAGTATGTTAACAATTGTGTACATAATGGCAGTGGTGACTGTACACACGTTTTAAACTGAAAGATTCCTATCTTTGCTCTTGTCTTTAGGCTACCCTTCCATTTGCAGGCAAAGTTGGCCCTTTAGTGTTTCATGACACAGTTCATTTAAATGACACATTCTTAATACTCTGTACCTGGGAAATCTGTCAGGTCTAGGTGCTTTCCTGCTAGCAGTATCCTTTTTATTTTTTATACGGCCTTTGACAATCTCTCAATCTCATGGCTTGTCCATCATTTGGACAAGAATTGAGCATAATAATGAGAGATCAAGCCAACG